TAATTACAATAAAATACAGAACAAACCAACTAAAAACAACCAAAAGTGATGCTTTATTCAATAAAATATGGAGTTGTATTAAACAAGAAAAATGTCTCAGGTTACGTATGTAACCATGGTTCCCTGAGTAGGGAACGAGACACTGCGCCCTCTAGGGGTCGTAATAGGAAACCTAGAGGACGCAGTTCGAAGTTCCCTTGAAAGGGAACGTCTCAGGTTACGTATGTAACCATGGTTCCCTGAGTAGGGAACGAGACACTGCGCCCTCTAGGGGTCGTAATAGGAAACCTAGAGGACGCAGTTCGAAGTTCCCTTGAAAGGGAACGTCTCAGGTTACGTATGTAACCATGGTTCCCTGAGTAGGGAACGAGACACTGCGCCCTCTAGGGGTCGTAATAGGAAACCTAGAGGACGCAGTTCGAAGTTCCCTTGAAAGGGAAGTGATGTTTTGTTCATGATTTACAGATTTATTGTTCTTGTTTGGTAGGAAAACACACTGAGGCAAAAACGTTCATGTAAAAGTCTGTCAGTCATCTGAATGTAATCCTGCACCATTTTCACTCAGAAATTGCTAGTAAATTTCACACACAAAAAAATACAAAGAAAAAGCAAGAACGTTGAATTAGATATGAAATGTTGAAGTAGAAAGACTAAAATAGCATTTTTGAAGGCAAAGCATTTTTAATAGGTGTGCTGCAGTTAACCTTTGCAGAGTAACATCCTTTTGCAGAAATTCGTAATTCGTTAAAAAAAGTGTCCACAAAATGTTTCAAAAGAGCAAAAACGAGTCTCAAAAGACAATGTGTTAAGGGTGTGTTTCATGGCTGTATATGCAGTATATAAATCAGTCGATGAGGGTAAATGCAACTCTTTTCCTTCCTCCGAATGTGTAAAGCAGGTTTTCCTTTCAATTCAGGAGAGAATTATTAAAATAGATAGATGAAATTCCTGATTCTGAGCCAGTAAAAATCAGGGTTGGTATATTTTTCAGTAGATTATATCGGGGGGAAATTTTTTAACTGATATTAAACAAAATATTATATATATATATATATATATATATATATACACACACACACACACAAACTTTTAATTTCAGATAGTTTCTCATTTCAATTTACAGTAGTTTAACTAAATTATTAATAAAACTACATAGACATTTAAAAAAAAAAATTTTTTTTAATAAAAAACGAAAAAAAAATGACAAAAGCACACAACAAAATGACTAAATTTTAAATAAAAATAGAAAATAGAAAATAGAAAAATAAAAACTGATTCAAAATATTAAGAAAAAAACTATAATCGCATTTCAATGATACTAAAATAACACTGCTACACATCAAGTCTCCACAAACAACATGCACAATAAAAATAAATAAAAAAATCCATCAAGCCCACACTGAGGCCAAACTTTCATTAAATGTAAAGGGATAGTCCTAATATTCTTTTATATTATTTCTAAGACACCATCCTGAGATACTGTACGGCTGCTAATAATCAAGCACGTTTTTCTTAACAAATGTTGTCTGAAAGGATTTGAGTCAGTGTTCATCTCTCAAAAACATTAAATAAGAGTTATAAATAAATCCCAAAGAAAAGGCTTGAAAAAGAATCTGTGGCGTGAAAGTCAGGAAACGACCTTTGCTCCAGCTCTAAAGCGCTTCCTCTGAGCCGTTCAGAGGAACCGACCCCAAATCACCTGAACTACGGCGATACTGACCCTCACTTAATAAAACAACCCAGAGACACGGGCAGGAAGTCACTGCGGGACACACAGGAAGTTGGTGGAACTCCAGGAACATGTCATGCCAAAAAAAACTTGTGTAAATCAATATGGTTTTGCTTTTCAAGCATTGTGTTCCCTGAGTTTGAAGCTTGAATTTGACTTTTATATGGTGGATTTTCTACACTGTTTCCATATTGTAGACATGAAACTGAAAGAACCAAAACAAAAAGAGAAAAAAACAAACATGAAGGAAAAATAGAGACATAAAATGCAAAATGAAAGAGGAGGGAAATGCAGCAGTGAAGCACCAGCTACTCAGTCCACCAGCGTTCATGCAGCATTTCCACACTTCAAACCATCCATGTGTGTTTTTAAAGCTCTTCACACTGATGCAGAAGCATGTTGTTGAGAATAATAATGTCATTGATCAGTGAGGCTCAGTGATTGGTTACCGCATTAACCACAGGCCACGCCCACTGGTCTCTACAGCACGGAAATCTTTTCAGAATAACACACTTAACATGTTCACAAAACGCAACTTGTTTGTCATTAGCTTATGCACACACCCAACAGACCTACTAAATGTGTGCAAGTATATTTCATATAAAAAGTTGATATATTTTAAATGAATAAGACATGCAAAATTAACATTTAATTTCCAAGTTGAGAACAGAGTATTAACAATTTTAATCTATTGATTCGTGTTCACGGACGCGAATTTCCGTTTTGTTGTGTGTCACAAATTTTTCAATCTAATGCATTTCAGTAGGGAGTAACTTTCCTGCCTGCAACACGTTCCGTGATTTCTTTTTAATCAGCCACCATATAATATTTACTTTTTTTTTTTTTTACACAATTTACACATGTTTGAGCACGTAAACCAACCCCACCCCAAACTACCCATTTGTATATAAAACACAAGATATAACAGGCAGATATGACTACAAACGCTATTTATAAATAATAAAAAAACAGGTGTACCGAAGTAAAACGATTGATTTGTGTGAAGAAATTTGGAATGCAACACAAGATGTCTGTAATACTTTTATACTGTTTGTGGTCAATTTTTGCAATAAATACACAAGTAATCAAATTACAAGAAAAGTCAGAAATCCAAGAAAAACGTAAGAATTGTGAGATTTTAACTCTGAATTCAGATAAAAAGTGAGAATTGCTAGAAAGAAAAAAAAAAGAGTCAGAACTGCTATAAATAAACTTAGAATTACAAGAAATAAAGTCAGAATTGCGAGAAATAAATTCAGAATTACAAGAAAAAAGTCAGAATTGTGAGAAATTAACTAGGCTTCAGAGAAAATAAGTTAAAATTGCAAGATTTTAAGTCAGAAGAAAAGTCACCATTGCGAGAAATAAACTCAGAATTACACGAAAAACGTCAAACTTGCAAGAAATAAACTCAGAATTACAAAAAAAAGTCAGAATTGTGATAAATAAATTTAGAATTACAAGAAAAATGTAAAACTTGCAAGAAATAAACTCAGAATTACAAGAAAAAAAGTCAGAATTGCTATAAATATACTCGAATGACAAGAAATAAACTTAGACTTTTGAAAAATAAACTTAGAATTACAAGAAAGTCAGAATTGAGATAAATAAATTCAGAATTACAAGAAAAAATTCAGAATTGTGAGAAATAAACTCAGAATTTAGAACTCAGAATTGCGAAATATAAACTTAGAATTACAATAAAAAATTCCAGTTGCGAGATATGACCTCAGAATTTAGAAAGAAAATGCAAGAACCACAAGACATAAACTCAGAACTTAGAGAATTCTTTTTTTTCCCCCAGAAAGTCCTAATTGTTAGATAAAAAATTTGCAATTACCTATTTTTTCACAAACTATTATTCAAAACCAGTATAGAGTGAATGATGTAGTGTTTTGTCTTACCTGACTTTTTGCACTGTGTAATGCAGACATGGCTGCAGGTGTAAAGGGTGTTTGAGTATTAGCGTGTGTTACAGTATCACACTGATCAGAGCTCATGTAAATCCAGCACAGATGAAGGCTTTGTGATCGGTGTGTTTAACTGCGGTTATTACTGATGTTATCGAGCTCCTGCTGCTGTTGGGACTTCATTTCCTCAGCTCTCTGAGAGACTACAACCTCATATTACAATGATTACAACTGCTTTTAGAAGGAAATTAGCAATTCTGCCTAAAGGAAATGAAAGTCCAACCACCAATGTTGAAAAGAAATCAAAGCCTTGAGACACTGTAATATGAACATGAACCTTGCAAATTAGCAAACTCAATGTCCGAGTGTGTTCAGATCAAATCTCCAATAACAGCTAATATCACATCTTCTCTATGCACTAATGAAATATCTTTTTAATGAATAGGCTCATTTTGGATGGTCTGGTCAGGGCTTTGCAGGCAGAAGATTAATAAACCAGATGATATAATAGTCCTTTCAAGCTTACTTGACAGCAGTTTAAAACAGTTTTCCCCATCTGCAGCTTTCATGTCAGATCTCTTGTCACTGTCTCTCAGTGTATCAGTGTCTCTGCTTGAGTAAACAGCTGGTATCTGAGAGGAAATGTGTTGAGTTTGTTAAACTGATCCCCTTTTTATTGCATAGAAACAGATCAGTGCCCCAAGTTCTATCGTGATGAAGAATCTATCGTCCTGATAAGGTTCTCTCAAGGTTATGAACAAACATTCTTCTATTAACATTAAAGGGGTCATATGATGCGATTTCATTTTTTCCTTTCTCTTTGGAGTGTTACAAGCTCTTGGTGCATAAAGAAGATCTGTAAAGTTGCAAAGACTAAAGTCTCAAATCCAAAGAGATATTTAATGTTCTTTTTAGCAGCATCATATGACCCCTTTAATAGAATGTTTATCCAAAGTAGTCTAGTCTTTAATAATGTTCTCAAAATGTAAGCACAACTTTTTTCCTAGTTGGACGTTCTTCTAACATTATTTAAATGTTACTTGTTTCAGAACGTTCAGAGAACATTCACATTAACTTTAATGTTACAAAGTAACGTTAAAGTTCCCATAAAGTTTGCAACATAGTAACATGGAATGTTGCCTCAACATTCGAAAAAAAAAAAAAAAAACGGTAGTAAAAGATTTAAAGAGGTGGACGTTTTGAAAGTTCAGAAATACCCTTTTCATGACTTCTATCATCCATCGTATTTAATTATCTAGAATATTAAATGCATAATATTTATCTGACATTATATCCTACTACATCATCTGGAGCGTCTCTTTCCGAAGTGCGTTCTGATTTGGAGGACGCTGATTGGTGGAGCGCGGTGGGCGTTTCCGCATTCCGCTGCCAGCGAGCACACAAGAGCCGAGCCGAGCGCAGCGCGGAGACAGACGCGACGCATCCGAGACCCTCCTCGATATTCTGCTGGAAAGTTGCCCGTTCTGCCGCCGGGATGCCGTACATCCTCATCAGCACACAGATCAGACTGGTGCGTATGAAACACGAGACTGATGCGAGCGCTAACGAGCCGACAGAACGCATATGAGCGTCATGCACAGCAGTGATTATGATATTATGATGCATTAGAGGATTACAGGTGCATGCATGCTGCATTGGAGTTGTTGTTGTTGTTATATAAGTAACCCGCATATGCAGAAGACATATTTTGACATGATGTGAGTTTTATACTTCTCATGCTGTGTGTTGCGTTGCGTTATGAATCATTATATCCAAACGAGGAAGTTTAATGTTTGCATTTCGTGCGTGTGTAGCTCGAGCACCTGTCTGTGTGACCTGGCTGGAGCATAAAGTGAAAGTGAATCATTTAGTGTTGACGGATTCAAGCCACAGCATACACCACATAACAACTGCTTTAGTGCAAGAATTTGAGATATCTGTATAGAGTCATAGTTTAGCCAAAAATGAATATGTGCTCACCCTCACGCCATCCGAAATGTAGCCTAGATGAATGGGTGCCGTCAGAATGAGAGTCCAAACAGCTGATAAAAACATCACAATAATCCACAAGTAACCCACAGCACTCCAGTCCATCAGTTAATGTCTGGAGAAGACAAAAGCTTTAAAGTCTAGAGCTGTTTTGGCTTGTAAACGGTGCTTGATCTGTGCAGATTTCTCTCCTGATTCAGACCAGAACACTTTTTCGTGGTTATTATGAATTCGTATTTTAGTTAAAAACATCTTAATGATGGATTCGTTTCAGCTTTTGTCTTCTCAAGATGTTAACTGATGGACTGGAGTGCTGTGGATTACTTGTGGATTATTGTGATGTTTTTATCAGCTGTTTGGACTCTCATTCTGACGGCACCCATTCACTGCAGAGCATCCATTGCTGAGACACTGATGCAATGCTACATTTCT